CCATTCTACAACAGTGGCACCATGCAGTATTTGTCCCTTTGTGACTGAGATATTTCACTCAGCATAATGTCCTCCAGGGTCACCCACTTTGAATAATATTGCATGAGTTCCTTGTTTTTCAATGCTGCATAGTATTCCATTGTGTGGATATACCACAGCTTCTCTATCCATTCGTTTGTTGATGGGCCCTTAAGTTGCTTCCAACTCTCTGCTATTGTAAACAAAGCTACAATAAACATGGGTGTGCATATATCTGCTTGGATGGCAGACATGGTCTTAACCGTGACTTTTAACCTGACTAGAATATTCAGCATTTTTTTTCCCTTTCTTTAATGATCGAATACCTAGTGATACATTTCTACATATGAAGAACAGGCATGTTTGAAGGGATGAGTTCTTAACGCTCATGTTTATGTTTTCATGCAGTCCAGCTGGCAGATTTACCCATTTTGCTCCCGGCATATAGTAGGGACACCCGAAGCCCCGCACATTTTCTTTCCAGGGTGTAGCGTGGATCCTAAAACAGTTTTCCTATCTGACACGGCCCTGGCTACACCTCCCCAGCCAATCCTCTAGGCAACTGGGATCTGACCCCTGTCTGTTTTCCAGCTCTAGAGTGGGAGCGAAGCCACCACAGGAAATAGACAGTGTGTGATCCTTTCTTGTCTGCGCCTTGTGGGGCTCTTTGGCAGCTATGGAGACAGGTTAAGGGCAGTATTTGAATGTAATTGGGCACGTAGCAGCACATAGCACCCAGACACGGTAGTAAGTTGTGGTGGGGACCCAGGTGGCAGCATCCTTGAAATACATAGGCACGTTAAGTTCCTATGGTCAGAGGAAAGAGAAAACTACCTATCTACAAACCTAATTTAGGGACAGCGCAGGAGGGGAAGGCCCTCTATGAGGTCGATTGATTCGGTGACTGGGGTAATCGGGATTGGAGTGTCAGAGACAGTGTTATTGGCACAGGACAGAGCAGAGTTTAAGGCTGTTGTACATAGGGTCGCAGGCGACTCAACGGCACATAACAACAACAACATCTACATTGCAAGGGAAGGAATTAGATCTGTCCTCCCACCTATGTTAAGTGTCAGTTGAGTTGTCTATGACTCATAGCAACCCTAGGGACAGACCTGAACCTGTCTATCCTGTGTCATCCTCATCATCTCTGATACGCTTGAGCCCATTATTACAGGCATGGTATCAGTCCACCTCGTTAGGGCTCTTCCTTGCCTATCCTCTGTCTTTCCAAACATGACATCCTTTTCCAAGGAATAGCGTCTTCTAGCAACATGGCCAAAATATGTGACCGAAGCCTGGCCATTTGCTTCCAAAGAGAATTCTAGCTGCACTTTTTCCAAGACTCATGTGTTCACTTTTTTTGGCAATCCTCTGACATTTAGTGCTCTTCTCCAACACACTTAAAAGACATCAATTCTTTTTTAAAAATTTTTTATTATTTTGTGTGTGTACCGTCAAATCAGATCTGACTGATACAGGAGGAGATTGCTTCTTCTCCAGGAGAGCATCTGGTTGATTTGAACCAGGTATCTTTGGGATTGCAGTGCAGCTTCTTGCCACTAAGCCCAGAGCTCCCTTAAAAGGCATCAGTTCTTCTGTCATCCTTATTCATTGTCCAGCTCTCAGATGCATATCAAGTGATTGAAAAGTTCATGACAAGACTCAGGTATACCTTGGTCTTCAAACTGACATCATTGCTCTTCAGTATTTTGGACAGGTCCCTGACATCACACTTGTACAAAGCAATGTGTCTCTTGATTTCCTGTTAGTACCAAGGGTGTTGATTGTGGATCCAAGTAAGATAGTTTGAATCCTTTATCTATCATGATGTTGCTTACTGGCTCAGTGATAAGGACCTTTGTTTTCTTGGTATTGACTGCCATCACATTACAACACCTATGATGTCTTCTAGTAATGCAACAGTTCCCTGTTTAAGTGTTCAGAAGCCATATACTTGCACATCTCTTTAATAATACATTATTTATCCAGAGTGTGTGGAAATAGCTTAATTTCCCTTTTAAAAGTGGAGATGGTGTATTTGCTTTCTATTATTGTTGCTGTAACAGCAATATTGAAAGTAGATAATTTTAAAAATTAGAAACTTAGAGAAACGACGATGAACGATTGAGGATTTCAACAAATTCTGCAGTTTTGTACTGGCCTATGCTGGTTATATTCCCCCTAGTAAAGAGGAAAGTGACTGGCCAGCTTCTGGCTCCAGCTCTCCATTGCGAGGTGAGAGTGCGGCAGACAGTGATGGCTGGGATTCGGCCCCCTCAGATCTCCGAACCATTCAAACTTTTGTTAAAAAAGCAAAGTCATCCAAGAGAAGGGCGGCTCAGTCAGGTCCCACCCAACCAGGACCCCCAAGGTCCACTTTCTCTCGCCTGCAGGCTCCTGACAGTGCCACTCTACTTGAGAAGATGAAGCTCAAGGACTCTCTCTTTGATTCGGATGGCCCCAAAGTGGCATCTCCTCTGTCTCCCACATCCTTGACACATGCTTCCCGGCCCCCTGCTACTCTCACCCCTGTGTCCCTTTCCCAGGGGGATCTTACCCAGCCTTCTCGAAAGAAGGACCGAAAGAACCGGAAGTTGGGGCCGGGTCGGGGGGCTAGCTTTGGGGTACTTCGGAGGCCTCGACCAGCCCCTGATGATGGGGAAAAAAGATCTCGAATCAAGAAGAGCAAGAAACGGAAGTTGAAAAAGGCAGAGCGTGGGGATAGACTCCCACCTCCTGGGCCTCCCCGAGCACCCACTAGTGATACAGACTCTGAAGAAGAGGAGGAAGATGAGGAGGAAGATGAGGAAGAGGAGATGGCAGCAGTAGGAGGAGGAGAAGCCCCTGCCCCTGTATTTCCAACTCACCCGGAGGCTCCTAGGCCCCCTGCCACTGGGGCCCCTGAGGGAATTCCCCCCACTGACAGTGAAAGCAAGGAGGTGGGCAGCACTGAAACAAGCCAAGATGGAGACGCCAGCTCTAGTGAGGGCGAAATGCGGGTCATGGATGAGGACATTATGGTAGAATCAGGTGATGACTCGTGGGATCTCATTACGTGTTATTGCCGAGAGCCCTTTGCAGGGCGACCCATGATAGAGTGCAGCCTGTGTGGGACGTGGATCCATCTCTCCTGTGCTAAGATTAAGAAGACCAATGTCTCTGACTTCTTTTACTGCCAGAAATGCAAGGAACTTCGGCCAGAGGCCCGGCGATTAGGGGGTACCCCTAAATCTGGAGAGCCTTGACATCACCACCTTTAAGCTAGGACGGCAATAAACTACAAGACTTGGGAACAGAGCCCCAGGGTTCCGAGCCATCCCCTGGAGCTTGGACAGTCCTACTTCAAGGCGGGGATTCCTTAGGGAGACTTGCTTGGAAATGAGTATCTCATGTTCCTATCTACCTTCCTTCCCATTCCATCCTCTGGACTTGAAGTTGGATCCACTGCAGTTGGGGGTGAAGGGTTTTCTGGGTTGGTACTAGGCGCACACAGTCCCTTCCCCTTGTATCTGCCATCCCTCACTTTCTGGTTCAGGGTTGGAATTGGGATGGAATTTAATAGAGTCTATAAAACTCTAGTGTAAATATAGCCGCACTCCCCTCCTACACTGTTTCTTCTCCTGTCTCATTTACTTTCTTATACACCAATTGTATTTTTAATTTTAGACTTTACCTTTTGAGCATGTCAGCTCAAAGGTAAAGTACCAGAGCCAGGTTGAGAGAGGAAGGAAAGCAGAAAAGGAACATGTTTCTTGTGTTTTTAATAATATTGGCTGTTACACAGATGGCCTGTTGGTTGTAAATAAAACGGAGTGGGCTCTCGTGTTTATAAAAAAAAAAAAAAATAAGAAACTTGCTTTCTCACAGTTTAGGAAGTTGAAGTCCAAACACAAGGATTAACTTCTAGGGGAAGTTTTCTTCTCTG